GTTTTGGGGTTTGAAAGCCACTGGGACATCATGTTTAGAAAATAAACGTCTCAGTTTCTCCAAAACACCCGCAACATATGGAATAACCACTGGTTTGGGTCTGGGTTTGGGGTCTTCATTTTCACCTGAAGGTTGCATCCTTCAGGACAGGACTCCATGCAACCTTCAGGTGAAAATGATTACAAATTAGTTATATTAGTTATATTATTATTATTAGTATTACAAAAATTTGATGTCACAGGCACTTTAAGATGCTGCAGTCCATCACTTTTGGAATGACAGCCAGAAGTTTTTTCTGAAAGTTGGGATGCAAAACAAAACCTACAGTTACAGCACATACTTGCAGATATGTTGTTCACTGTTACTGTTGGGATTTTCAATTTACAGAAACTTTAACTTTAACTTTAAAAAACTTTATTGTCATGTTGCATGCACAAGGTGTATACCAGGGGTGTCAAACTCCTGTCCTCGAGGGCCGCTATCCTGCATGTTTTAGAGGTTTTCTTGCTCCAACACACCTGATTTTGATCGCTGGGTGATTAACAGGCTTCTGCCCAATTTGAAGAGTTAATTCAATCACTGAATCAGGTGTGTTGGAGCTGGAAAACCTCTAAAACATGCAGGATAGCGGCCCTCGAGGACTGGAGTTTGACACCCCTGGTGTATACAAAACGAAATTTCGTTGCATACGGCTCAGGACAGTGTTTTGAGCTTTCAAAAATACAGTATAAAATATGCATGTAAATATAAAAATATAGAGTGCAGGAATGACAGTAAAATAGAAGTTCTTTAGTTCTGTACATGGGCAAGATATAAAGTGAGACCAGATACTAAGTACAGTGAGGTTAAGAGTTCAGCAATCTGATGGCAAGTGGGAAGAAACTGTTTCGGAACCTGGAGGTCCTGCACCGGATGCTGCGGAACCTCTTTCCAGAGGGCAGCAGGGAGAACCATCCATAGTGGGGGTGTGAGGGGTCACTGACGATGTTTCGGCCTCGGGACACGCAGCGCCGGGATGAAAGGTCCTGAATTGAGGGAAGGGGGGCCCCGATGATCCTCTCTGCTGTCCGCGGCTATAACTCATTGCACACATTAGACACGTGGCAATAGTGACTGAGTGTTTTTTTAAAGTTAAAGTTAAAGTTTGACCCCAGCTTCACCAGGGCTGTTCATCATTTCTTCTGGGCTTTACTCCTAAACCATCGGCTATAACTCATTGCACACATTAGACACGTGGCAATAGTGACTGAGTGTGATGAACAAATGTCAGGGTTTTCACTTTGACTCACAGAAATAAACATTCCCCATCTAAAAACTGCCTTGTTGTCATTTTTCTTCATTACTTTAATTTGATGCAAGCAGTTCCTTCTCCAATGATCTCTTGGCTTTTGTTCCAGTTTTGGACTTTCAACATTTTGTTTTGACTGGATAGATTCCCATTCCTTAAGAGCAAGATAAAGGCAAAGTATCACAGAAATGCACAACATCTGCATTCTCTGCAAACAGTGAACGTGTTAGAATGCTGTTCTCTGCAAATGATTTGCTCTTGGGTCACAGGCTACTTTCTCTACTTTATCAGCAAGATATATTTCAGACATGATTGTGCAGAAAGATAGATTGTTGAAAAAAAAAGTCCACATCTGGGTCCTCTTACCTCTTTCCTCCCTCTCCCTCTCTTTGTTGGCTCTTTCTCTCTCTTTCTCCATCCACTTTTCATCTGTCTCATCCTCTTTCCTCTCTGCAGTAAAAACAACAGTGGTAACTTTATAAATATGACATAAAGAGTAAAGAAATTTGTGTTGGACTGATTGTGTCTTTGTTGTAACAATGCTTCATGGCAATAAATCTTATACAGTTGAAAAGTCTGTTGATTTCTTCTTAAACGATGCCACATTTGTTACAAAACTTTTTTAAACTGCTTTTATGGGTTGAGAAGCAATACTAAGCTCTCATGTAAAACTTGTCTTATCTTGTCTGCCAACGCAAACCTGATTATTCTGCTATTGACTCTTGTCTTGAGCTTCTGGTTCCATACGTGCCGACTATCTGGTGCCTGATTGACCGCACCTGTGAGCAACCAGTGACAACTTCAATTCCTCTCTATTGTACCCTACTAGATGACAACTCTTACCCAACTGAGCAGGGTTTGTCAGAAACTACCTTCAGAATTTGGCAGTGGATGGGATGCCATCCCATAGCAGTGACCAGGCTAGTGAGCAGCATGAGGAGGATGTGCTAGGCTACAGTTGTATATGGTTCTTCCACATGCTACCCTGTTTATTAAATGAACAATATTTATTGAGTAAATAAACTGTTAAATTGCCAATATTTTTTCTTCTGACTTCAAAAATCTAATCCATTATTCCACACCAAGCAGAAGTTAACAGCAGAACAAGCTGTCATTTGTGGAGACTATTGAGACTGTTTTTATCTGCTGTTCAGCCCACAAATACATTTTCAAACAAATTTGGCAACATTTAAGAGGAAATTAACAGTTTTTTCAACAATAAAAGATTTACGGCCACGAAGCATTGTTACATAAAAGAAATAATCAACCAAACATTTTTTTTACATTTTGTGCAAAGTTCAGAAATACCTGTATATCTACAAGCACAGCCAATGTGGAGCAGTGAAAATTTTCTGTTTTAAAATGGTTGTCAAGGACTTAATAACTTGAAAAGTTATTGATCCCTTTTAAGATTTGCCACAAGGATGAAGCTTAACTGATGGGATTAATAGAGACTATTTAGGTCTGATGTATTTTATCTGTGAGTGGCACTTACTCATTCCATATTCATCGTAATCATCATACCAGGTCCTATCAAAGGGAGCAGTGGGTGTGGGTTCTTCTGTGTTAAAACAAACACACACAAACAGACAATTAAACAACTTTGTTCACAGTTTATAGAAGTGTTGCTATTTAACAATTGGGATTACATAGTTTAATCTGCTGTTTTAAAGCTTTGCCCTGCCCTGATTCTCTCAACCACAAGAGTAGCTTTGTTTGTACGACGCCTGCCGTGTAATTAAGCTGTTAAAGCTTTAATTTACATTTACAAGAATCATAACTTTGCTGGGATCTGATGACAGGGCTGCATTTAACACCGCAACACAACTATGGAGGTTTTATTTCTTTGATGACAAAGTGGAACGGCACAAATCCACCCTCTCCGGTCTGAAAAGTAGGGCAGGTTGCTGAAAGACTCACTCTAATGTCATTCCCATGTGTCCATGAGAGGCTCAAATGGAATTTCATATGACTCATAGCTCCTACTAGTAATGTCTCTCTGGTCAATTGCTTGATTGGAAAATCCTCTATTTTTTCTCATTAAACAGTTTATTTTCTGATATGTTTGTGTGAGAGCTGCAAACCTGGAAGAGTTTCTACTTCGATTTCAGGCTCGACCTCTTCACCTTCAGGAAATGGTAGATTGTCTGGCACCTCAACTGCAGGAGGAGGAAAAACAGAACACAGACTAAAAACAACACAAATCTGAGGGAAGCATTGAAACCTAAAAAAAGGATTAAAAAACAAAAAGGATGCATAAATTGGGGAATGTGCTGAAAGAGCAGAAGAGTGAATGAGTAAAAACACATTTTGTTTGGTTTGAGGAGGGTCTGGATGTGATCACAATCTCTTCCCTTTTGGTTGCGGAGAAATTTTAAAACTACCAACCACTGAGCTGACTGGATGTGCTGCTGATCAGTCAGCGAACAAAGCAAACCAGCCTGTTTAGAGACATCAGTGTGTTGTGTACTACCATGTGTGTGTTACGCTGAGTTGAAAACTGACCAGAAAACCTTCATTTTCCTGTGATCATTTCCAACATTCTCCGGTATTTCCCCATGTCTCATACAAGTCTGTGTTTAGTTTTTTCCCCTAAAACGAATCAATTGTAAACTTTAACAGAGTTATTTTAACTGTTTCAAGCTGTTTTTTCTCCCCCTTAGAAATACCTTAACAGAGGCAGATTGTTCTTATTCCTATTTGAACATTGCAGTGAAATCAGGAACGACACGGTGGAAGTCGTTTCATCAGCTTGTGTTTCTCTTTTTGAAAATGTTAATTTTCTACAGGAAATTGGTAACTCTTCCTGTTGTTTTTCTTTGTTTTTGACAGACCCTGCTCAGATAAAGTTATATAAAGTTGGTAATAGTGATCCACTAAAGTTCACACAAAACCTAAGAAAAAATTAAAGACCTAGCATTCCTTGAAGGAATGTATATCGTCCACATTTAAAAGACACAGTTAACCATGACGTGCACCCTGGTGTGCTAATACAAGATGTACATCCACATGTCCTGAAAGTTTCATTAAAGTGTCTGTGACTTCAAATTTTTGTAATAAATCTGAATGTATTTTTGGAAAGACAACATTAAAAACATATTGCAAATAAAAACTCATCCCGTTAAGATGAACAGTTGTTGAGATATTTGCCTGTGAAGTAACAGGAAGTGATGTCAAAGGGGAATGTCTGCATGTGAACAGAGCATTGCTACAACAGCCAACAACCCAGGCTGTAGAGAAGAATCTGATGTTCCTTAAGATTATTTTGAGTCACTATCAGAGAGAAATGAAAAAGAGTCAGAGTTCAAATAATATTGTTTCAATAAACAAAGACCAGAGATCCCCTTTGATGTCACTTCCTGTTTTGTTTTGGCTGAGCCAAATTCAAAAGAACAGCACTTTAAGCTCCATCCAGTTGTTCATGAGATATTTTGCTTACATTTCAGAACATACTGACATAAACCTTATTGCCTGCTTTTCAGGACATCATCAATAATCTGATTCACGGTTCACACACTGTCGCCGCAAACCTCTTTTTGTCACACAGAAGCTGAAAAGACTCAAACATACATGTGGCATCCCAGTAATCGCTGTCATCCGGTCCAGTCTTCCCCGTGTCAGGAGCCCCGGTGGTCGGCTCCACCTCCGTCCAGTAGCCGTCTGTCACAGGAGCGTACGGTTCTGTCTCATCTTGCTTCCACGTGTCCTCGTAGACGGGCGGAGAAGTGGACGGCTCCTGCTCCTCTGGTTTCCAGTAGTCGTCGTAGATGTCTGTCACAGGAGCAGCTGGGTCTTCGTCCTCTGGCTTCCAGAAGTCATATGGGGGGTCTGTGCCTGGGGGTGAGGTAGCGTCGGGCTCCCAGTATTCGTCTGTGTCTGGGGGTGAGGTAGCGTCGGGCCCCCAGTATTCATCGTCAGGTTTCCAGTAATCATTGTCATTTTCTGACAGAGAAACAGAAAAAGACTGACTCAGGGCTCAGTTATGAAGAGAAAATGTAATATCATCACTCTTAGACTTGTATTTTTGGAAATACACTGATCTAAACCTTGATGTCTCTACTTAATATTTAATAAATGATCTCAAGTAACATTTTATTCTTGAAATTTTGGTTTCAGTTTCATATCTTTTTGAGTAAATCATCTCCTATTAAGACCACTTAAAATCCAAAGTCTGAAGCGGTACAGACGTTTGGTTGCCTTGATTGAGCGCTAACCATCTTTAAGGCACTTTCTGATGCCTGGGAACCAGATGAACTCCAGGTCTCTGGGTTCAGAAAACATCTGGACCCCTTCTGTTCTGTTCTATGCACCTGTCCCAGGTTGAAGACTGCGCCGGTGCAAGTTGATGTCTCATAGGTTGCAGGTTTAACAATTATATCTGGAGACATTTTAGTTTTAAAAGTCCTTTTCTTAAATGTTGATAAATGACATTTAATTCAAACGTTTAGACTTACACGCCAGTATGTTTTACTGTAGAGTCTTTATTCGCCATGATCCTGTCTGTCTTCATGGGGGAAGTTTTACCAAACCCATGTGTTCAACCATAAGTAAGGGGCTGGAATAAAGCTTCAATGTAGTGTGACCCAATAAAATTCATAGGGCGTAAGGAGCTCACCAGAGTCAGGATAGTAGTCTGGGTAGGGCTGAGGTTCTGTGGGGGGTTCAGTAGGTAGAGCTGGAAGCATCAAACAGACTCCAGGTCAGCACAACTCAAGAAAGTGATTCATGTACGAACTGCTGTCTGTTCTTACTTGTGGTGGTGGGCGGTAGAGTCGTTGTCGTTTTCTGCTTGTCCTTCTTTTTTCCCTTCTTGTCAGTTTTAGGCTTCTTGGTGGTGTTTGGATCCTTTGGTTCTTTGTTCTTCTTGTCCTTCTTCTTCTTTTTGCCTTCGTCCGGCGCTCGCCTCACTCTGCTCCAAATGCCTGGAGGAGGAAACAAGTTTTTCAGATTAGCAGAATTATTAATACTTTTTTCTCTCTCTCTCTTTGAAAATACACCCACCCCCTGGATAATGCCTGTTCCAAAACCACAAATTCTAAATGGAAGCTTCTCAAGATATAGAATTGCATTTCTCTCATGATAAAGACCAACACTTTCACACTTTTGCATCCTTTCTGAACCTGTGTTTGTGCTCTGCAGTAAAGGCTTTTCTGTGAAACCCAAAAGGCTGTGTTGTAATGGAGATTCCAGACTGCTGGGTCCATTTCAGTGGTTTCTGGAGATATCTCAATGTTTCCTTTTAAGTCCTTCTAAAGCAGCATTTTCATGGAAAACCTGTTTCTTCCTTTCCATTAGCTGTGAGCACCAAGAACTCAGATTGAATGACATCAAATCTGTCGTGGTGCCCAATAAACTGATCATTCTCACTTCTTGAACTTCAGGGAGGCTTAATAAACTGATCGTTAGGATTTATGTTTAGTAAAGTCTAGAGAGGAAGCTCCAGGAAATAAAGTGCTCAATGTTTGAGTGGATTAGTCCGCAGAGGCTTTCAAGTTTTCCAGCGTAAAAGCGTAGAGTCTGCATTAGCCATGGAGGGAAGTTAGTGGAAAAAGTTAACACCTTACAAGCTCAAGCCCTGAACACACAGGTCTGCTGTGGACAGGTGAACATCTTTCTTCAGCCACTTGGAGGTGTCGATGAACATTTACTGCTTGTGTCTGTGTCACATTTTACTTCCTCAGCTTACCCGTCTGTGCAGCTCCGTCTGAGTCTCTCCTGAGCCTGATGCTGCCTTTCAGTAGGTCCTCTGCCAGCTCCTGCTGACTTTCGGGCTCATCCAGAGACCCATCTCGCACCTCATCCTCCGTCTGCGCCTCCTCTTGGGGCTGCAGGAGAGAAACTATCCCTCCGGCACTCCTCCCTCCTTTGGGAATCAGCAGGCAGCAAAGGGCCAACAAAGCCACAGACACAGTCACAGCATGACTTTTCATATCTGCTGCTCCTCCAGCTGCAAAAAACAAAATAAAAAAATCTTCAGGTTTGGAACTTCTCTGTTTCAGTCGTCCAGTACACAGCAGTTATTGTCCAAAAGGATTCAAATTTCAACCCCTTTTTTTGTCACCACTATATGATTTAAATTTTTTTACTCCAGCAGGGAGGTCTCCTCAGCTCCACACAGCCTCAGTGTGTCAGCCTGACTCAGTCTGGGCTAGACGGGAATGAAAAGGGGGGGTCAGAGGGGAGGGATAGGCAGGGAGGAGGGCTGCAGGGAGACAGGATACAGAGCTAAAGGAACAATCCAGTCAAATGAATAGACAGAGCCACTAATTACCCTGCAGTTAGGATCAGCTGAAACAACAGAACAAGGCCAGAGGATCCCGTTCACCTGCCCGACGAGTCACAACACAGAGGGTCTGCAGGTGAGACCCTAGACTGTTTGGCTGCGGGGGGAGAGAGCTGAACAGCAAGAGACAGGAGCAACTCCTCCAACTCCAAGAGGAGGAGGAGGAGGAGGAGGAAAGGGGCACAAGGGAGGGAAAAAGGAGGGTTTCCTGTATTGAATGATGGCTGAAATGTGTCGAGGAAGCTGAAACTGAACTGTTAAATCTAAGCTGTGCAGAAGAAGAGCAAACAAAGGCTAACAGCTACAATTAGCAAATCAGAAGCTCACACTAGCAAAATAGTGGCTAAAAGAAGCAAACCATGGTGCTAAATCGAAAATCAGCAAAAACAGTAACTAAAATTAGCAAAACGTGGCTAAAGGCTACAAAATGGTACAGCTAAAAGTAGCAAAGTGGTAGCACATAGCTAAAATTCAAACACATTACAGCTCAATGAAATAAAAACAAAGCCATATGCTGAAGTAGCTTAAAGGAGAACAAGGTTTTTGAGATCTTAATGTATTTAATTGGGGGTATCTCTTCAAAATAAAGTTAAATGTTCTGAGAAGTATTAATGACGGGATAGTAGAAAAAACAAGTTCAAATCGAGCTGAATGTTTTGGCAGATGACAGAATTATAAACTTTTAAAAATCTGTTTTCTTTGCCATCCCACCACCCCGTTTTTTACTCTAACTACATTTGGGAAATTTTGTCAGGTTCTTTCAGTGTCGTATTTAGTTTACTGCCAGTAAGATGAATTTGTACTCTCTGGTCAAACAGAAATAGTAAGTTTTAGCCAAGAGTTTGATTGCTGATAAAACAGTGAACAAATTAGTGCCTATGGAAATCTTTTAATGGTGGGGGTGGTGGTGGTGGGGTGGGGGGTAGGTGCCACCCAATGGCACCATAACAGAATTTCAGGAGATTCAGTGTCTATGGGTGTGTGTGTGCCAGGAAACATCTCAGATTTTTGCCCAAAGTTCTCCTGAAGAATCCATATTTACTTGTATCTGTCATGTAAGCCTCCTGGTAAAGTGTCCAGGATTTCCTCTGGAGACACGTGGACAGGCACAAACACACACCTGCTGAAATAATTGAACTTGTGCAGTCTCAAGAGTGTGGGTTCAGGAAAGCCAAAGAGGATTGGACTTTAGGAAAACTATCAAACTGTGGAGTCAGATCTGTGGAGGGTATGACTGTGGCTGTGAAGAATGCAGCAGGAGGTTCAGGCGATTAGGTCAAGCAGGGGGGCAACACTGGAGGAGATAAAACAAAAGCTGTGTTAAAACAACAAAAAAGCATATTTCCATGCACTTTGCACCACGGAGCACCTTTATTTGCCATGTTTGCTAGCTACAGATAGTTCCTTTTAAAGGCCTAAGTGTATTCATGTAGATGTTTAGATGTTAAACCTTTAAATCGATGCATCAAAGTAAAATATTTGGCTTCAGTCAGACAAGTTTACTTAAATATTCCTGTTTTATGTTACAACAAACCCTCCCAGAAGACTGTGGTGTTGATGGACCTGACGCTGTCCTCTTGCTGTATGTGGGTCCATATATTTCCACGTGTCAGCATAAAGCAGAGCAGCATTATGCAGAATGCTGAGCGTCTGTGCACACAGCCTTGAGCTGAGCGTCAGGATCAGCTGGGCAGGAAACAATGACAGCAGAGAAAAAGAGGAGCCGAGTTGGGGGGAGGGAGGTAGAGTAAAAAAAAAAAAGTGAGAAAAAGGCTGTAATCCAGCAGGCTCACTAGGTCCAAATGGAAGCAGGTTCTAAAACTCCATCCTGATCCTTTCTGTGCGTTCTCACTGGAGCAGAACACCTCAGTTAGAAATGAGAAAAATGATGCATAATTAATCATTTTTGACAGCTTCTGAGTGATGATTACTGTTTTTATACTTTATTCTTTACTAAAACTCCTCACACATTGATTCAAAGTTAAAGCTCTGACTGCACTGGAACCTCTGCTGGTGAAAACAGATTTGACTCACATTTTACTGGTTAAGTAAAACAAGAAAAATAATAAAAAATAATAAAGGGCAAGTTGGTTGATAAATGTTTTCCACCCTCTGTGTGCTGCGATTCAGCAGGTCCCAGTCATCTGGGGGTGGATGAAGTGCAGATGCGGAGGCATAAAGCATCAGGATGGTTCTGGAGTGAACGTAAACCTGCAGTCTGAATGCATTTCAAGACAGTCTTGGGGTGAATCTGAGTGAGAAGAAAAACCAGATCCATCCAAGTATTTTGTTTTTTTTCAAAAGACCTTTCAAGAGCTTTATTATGAAATATACTTCATGTTACATATTGTTAGAGCTCTGTCCGGATGATTCAGCAGGTTGTTTCAGGTGGATCATTAGAGCTGAAGTCATGTTTGAGAACTGACAAATGCTTAGAGGTATATTTTAAACAACATGTCTCACTGGGTAAGGTTTAGTATGTTTTGTTTCTGAGATTATTTGGCAGCACCATCCTTCAGTAAAGCATCATGTCTCTTTCATGGAGCCTTGAAACAGAACCAAAGTGCGCCCTCTAGTGTCAGAAAAACAAAACAAGAAAAAAAATCTAAGCCAAAAAAAGTGTCCTACTTTCAAACGCAGCTGAATGTTAAAATCCTTGTCAGCATAAAATCTGCCAAACAAAATTAAGAAATTAAACAAATTTAGTTTTTAAAACAGCATTTATTTAGCTTTCTCCATACAATACATTTAATGTACAACAGCACATACTTTATTCTGCAATAACTCTCAGTATAAAATAGGGCTTCTACAATCAACGAATAGTCCTAGGATGCTCTGAGGGACATGAGGACAACAGTAAAAGACCTTTTATATAAAGAACAGGATAATGAGAGAAGTGATTGTATTTGTCGAGCTGCTGCTGTAGGACGTAGAAGTTCAGGCCACAGCTCTCAGCACATCCTGCAAGAACCCGTTTTTTTTTCTTCCTGTTTCTCAAACAAAGAACTCAAGATGATGGTCAAAGCATAAATAATGTGATCTATTACTAAAACTAAAACAACCTCTTTATTTGACAGTGTGTGCATAAATCAGGGCTTGTTCGGACTGAATCTATACCAAGGTCACAGCATAACACACAGCTTTCTGACTGCTTGGTGAGCTTGCATCTTCACAATCATCAACTGAACCGTTTCTGATCTGCGTGTCCTCCACACCAAACGCCCAATCACAGCACGTATATAACGTCCCATCACCGAAGCCACGAGAAAACCCAGCTTGTTTTAACGTCGGCCAGTTAAAGCTTGATTATTGAGGAACCTTTTATCCGCAGGTGGGCGTCAGAGCGAGTGGGCCTGAAAGTAAAACACACCCAACGTCGACCAGCTTTCGTGGCACTAATAGAAAAGCGTTGTGTTTCAGGATGGGGATATAAACGGTGTGAGAAAAAGGAAACGGCAGGATTCTGACTGAGAGGAGAAACAACCAAACAGCAGAGAGAAAAAGGAGATTTGTCTTAAGTCTTTGAGGTAAGCAATGTGTTTCAGTATAATGCCCTACAGACAATCATACAGTTACAATCATTAATTCTTTATATACAAACTTCCTGATTTACATACACCGCACCGCTCATCAGCGTTAAAAAGCATTAAAACTAAAACCATGAGATCGTATCGATGGTGCAATTTATTTTGTAACGAGCAAGGTGGGGGGCAGGAGAAAAAAACTGGGACTTCAGGAAGCCCGTTTCATGATCTGGGCGATGACGATGATGATGAAGATGAACATTATGGCTATTGAAGAGTTCCTCTTGCATACCTCACACGTTTCAAATATCTACAACAGTGCAAATTATCCAGATCAATCATCACTATGTAAGCTCAATCCATGAAGTTATAAAGGTGAGATGGTGAAGAGTAACTGAGCAGATGTTGACCATGAAAGCTCACATGCCAGTGGATTAAACTAGACCAGGAGGCCCCGCGTGTTGGGTGAAGAACTGCATGCAGCGTTACACAAACGCAGGAGGGTCTACATGTAGCATGATCGCTCAAATAAAAGAGGGAGGAGGGAGGACAAAGCAGCAATCTACCCCACACGGTTTGATGCAGGCACCTTTTTTTTTTTTTACTATCACCACCTCCGATGATCTTCTGCCACACGGTGCCAAACACACTGCGCTGCCTAAATCTGCTAGATGAGAAGAAAACGATGAAATGCATGTGCTATAGTAGTAACAGTTTGCACACTCATTGACGCTACAGACTGTAACTGAGGCATGACACCAACGAGCTTTACGAAGAGGAGGAGGCTTTAGGATGCTACAGTACTAGTGCTACCTGAACATGCTACAGATCGAGACTACGACGACGAGAGATGGTTTCACGTGAACACGAAGCAGGAAGCAGCTTTACCGAGGAGCTCGGCCCGTTTCAGGGAGCAGAAACGCTTCAAACCAAAACACACGTTTGCCGTTTTGGGATAAATATCGTCATCTCGAATGGAACGTACCACTTTCAGGATGACTATAGTACCAGATCTGCAGCTCAGCAGAGCCGAGCTCCCAGTACAGCTGGCTCACTGTGTACAAAAAGAAAGCACCCTATCTGTAGTCTGTTTCTGTTAAATGACTCACATACATACGGCAAAAGAACACATTCGCTTGCACGAGTGCACAAACCCTGAAATTAGGAACGACTTCTATCATCACACAGCACTAGTGTTTTGATTATCATAAAGAAAGAGCTAGGATTGCATACTGTACCATACGTCTCCGAGGAGAGGCACCCTTCATCAGCTTCAGCTCAGTTATTTTTACCACGCACGCACACACACACACACACACACACACACACACACACACACACACACACACACAGAAACATTACCTAACTGTTCAAAACAAACTAAAAAAAAAGTACAATCACATGCTTTATAACGGAATGTAGAGAAAGTTCAGACCCTTGGCTTCTGCTGGGACCAAACCAAATGCACACAATCTGTGGCGTCACCCGTAACAAGCTGAGAAATCAAAACTTTTAGATGCTCTGACAGAATTTTTAGAGTTAAAATCCTTTGACCGGTCACTCGACCGCAAGTCTGATCAAATTCTGAAGTGCTCTTGCACATAACAGGGAAGTTACGCTTTAAAATGAACCGCTGTTTGCTAAGAAAGGGCTAATGTTACTGAAAATGTCCCCTATAGTTCCAGATTTGGACTGAACCCTATCAGAACTGTAAAAACAAAACACCAGTTGTGCTCTAACGACTGGCTTTTCGTCCAGACACCTGAATTAATTAACCATTTGTGGGTTTCTCACTCTAAACAGAATGCAAAACCAGTAACAAATCAAGCCATGTTTAAAGTCCTCTGAACATCTTTGAAAAACAAGTAGCAATTTCTGCTCCCTGCTGACAGGACTCTGTAATCTCTCTGGGTTGTTCGTTGTCTTCTCTACCTCTCGTGCTGACAGGAAACTGGCTGCTCCTTGCCATGCTCTCCCCTCTGCATTGTTAACATGTTGTGGCTGAGATCCTGGAGACACACGTGTACATTTTGGACTTCTAGACAGGTAGAGATAAACAAAAAGAAATTGGCAGCTCTTGGTTCGGCTACTACAATGACAGAAAAAAGTGCAAATATTCTTTTCATATTGTGTGACATCTTGCATTAAAAACCCTCTCTCACATATTTGACGACTCTACGTCCCCAGCTTAAAGATAAAAACTTACAACGAAAAAAATAAACTCAAACAGAACTCCGTCTGGTCAAAGTGCAGCACTCCAGCCTCAGTGGAAGGAGAAGAAGTGTATGAAGGTAGGGTTCATCAGACAGAGCCCAGATCAGGGACTGGTGAGCTCTTCCTCTTTGCTCTGAGTAAAGACATTCACACTTACAGTAAAAGACATCGTGGACAGGACAGCTCACACACACACACACTCACACACTCACACACACACACACACACACACTCTAGCTTAGATAAATCTGGCCTCTCCCTCCGTGTCTGGTGGGAGATCGCACACTCCTGTGAAGTGCATCTCCTTTCCCCTGCTTCCCTGCCCCGCTCCGGCTCTCGCCTCTCCCCCCAGGCTGGGCGAGGGCTGTTGGGCCTGAGGGTCCGGCGACGTCCCACGGGGGATTCCACCTGCTCGCCTCTCTTTCAGGAAGACCTCTAGTCGGCGCAGCATCTGCTTGGGGTTCTTTTTGGCAAAAAGCTCCACTTCTGCGGGTTACAAAACCACAGGAAAGGCTGGACTCGTGCTGAATCACACAAACAACCAACCGCACTCCACATTTTGGAAAATACAATTATGTGCTTGTTATTTGAGCCAAAAAGATTAACGCAAATCACATTTCTTTCCTATAAATGAGGCGAGAGGTTTAGTTCAGCACAAATAGAGGCAAATACAAACAGCTGGCCTGGATTTTACAAATCTAATTACACGTTTTTATGTTTCTCACCTGTTAGGCTATTCTTTTGAGTTGCTATTTGGTCGATATTGATGGTATTTAGAGATTAAGTGAAACACGGGTGTTAAATAAGCTATTATGGTTAAGTTTTGCTGTAAAAGAGATAGCTATGTATGTGTATGTAAAATCAGAAGGTTCACAACAATAAAAATCAAGAATATAAAACTTTTTTTTGAAGAGTAAGAAAGGGGTAGGAAAATATAAGTCTTTACTTCAAACTACTCCTTTTCAATACAGATGGTCTTGTAAGCTGCCCAATACAAAATATTCATGTATGTGTATATAGATATATACACATTTTTGTTTGTTTGTTTTATCTGTTTTGAAATAAAGACATTTTCAATCATTCAAGCTAATATAAAAAAAAGTAATTTCACCACAGAGAGGCAGACTGCTCATCACCGTTCTGGCTCAAACATCACATTTAAGAGACAACAACGAAACGGTTGATCTTCTCAAGAAACAAAACTGATATGACCTAAGAAACAACATTTTATTAAATAATACATGATAATAAACACAATGTAATGTACCTTTTAGAACAAAGCCAGAGTCAGCAATGGTCTTTTGCTGGGTCTTCCACAGCTGGTACAGATGCAGGTATGTGGCAACATAAAACTCATTCAGCACACCGACCACCTGCTGACGACGATTGCACTCTCTGGGGATGAAGACGTACACAAAAAAAAAAAAGAGTTGTTGGTCTTCACAGAGTGAGGGGCAAAAAGACAACCAACCGGACACCACAGAAGATTCTGTTCAAAAGAAGAGAGCAGGAGGGACTCACTTGGACAGGGCCTCCTCTCTTAGCACTTGCAAAGCAATGCGGGTCATGTTGATTGACATCACACTGAATGGGAAGTTCTGAGCCAGAGAAAATCCACAGCAAGTGTTACAGAACCTTCAGCCACTTTTCATTTCTTTATGTTCTTAAAACAGACAGACCTTTTTAGTAACCTTGTGAAGTAGGCTGGATAAATACTCCTCCTGAAAGATTTTCCCTTAGACTTCGGTTTTCTACTTACTTTCAGTCTAGTCTGTCTACTGGACCCTTAACAGCTAGGATGAGTTTGTTCTTCATTAAGCTACATTTAAACATGAAAATAAATAAATAAATAAATAAATAAATACAAAAATGACAAAACAGAAAAGATTTGAATCTATTTTTGAAGGATTCTACAGTCTTTGGTTCTTTGGTCTGGAAGTAAATTCTTCAGACAAGGAGCAACAGTGCAAAAGGCTCGGCCCCCCATGGTGCAAAAGCAAGGTAGCAAAAACACTCTGTCCAACAGTTTTTGCTCCCGTGCTTGCACGAAGGAATTTACATGTGTGGGAGAAGCAGCTCTTTAAATGAGACATAGGCAAAATTCACTTTTTGAGCCATTAAAAGCCTTTTGTTGTGTACTTGGAGTCTCTAGGAGTGCAGAAAAGTTGAATTTAGTCTTTCCTGGTGCTGCAACAAAACAGATTGTCTGGGTTTACCAACTACAATTTGATTGTCTTCATTCTCCTCTGGCTCTGAATCAGACTCTGGCTCCAACGTGTAAGGCTGGATGGACAAGTCTTCTGTTGTTGACAACTTTTAATTAATTTGTATATAAAATGTTTCTGCACCACTACATAGCCACAAACCCCTCTATAAAAGAACAATGAACTGGTCTGGGAGCTGGAGGGGGTGGAATGTAATGGGATGAGACTTATGAGGTTTTATACAGACTAGTTTGCAAATGTTTGCAGGGATCCTCAGTATGCTTGAATTTTGAACATGTTTAAAACTGTTGTGCAACAAAAGTGTCTCAAACCAGTTGCAGAGGTATCGTGGGAATCTCAAACCTATCTCAAGCTAGCCTGGTAAAAACCAGACCCTTGTCCTTCACTTTGCTTCATACGAGGGTCTGGACTCTCAGCTATAGAGAAGTGATTCTTGCTGAAGGCGTGGCCTCTGCTGAAGTTTAAAATGATAGGATCAGTTGGCCGCGACGTATGTGTAAGCCAGCTCCACTGTGAAAGAGGCTAAGCTAAGAAGCTAACCGGACATAGCGTGTTCTGTAAACAACCCTACTGAGAGGAGAGAAGTACCGAGTCGAACGAGACGACTGTAAATGAGAGCTGCTGCTTTATCAGACAATTTTAATTTAATTTGGAAGCCTTATCAACACGGACTGGCTTCATTCACTTCCTCCACTGCCGTATGCTAAAATAACTAGCAGACACTGTGCAGAAAATCAAAGCCTTCAAAACTCGTCCTTCTGTTTGCTGATTGGCCCAGGTAAAATTCTCCTGAAGAAATCCATCTCAATGGGAGAAATCCCAGATGAAGCAGTGAAGGGAAACTAGAATTGAGCGGAACTGCGTAGGAAGGCAAGGACCAGGCTAATCTCGCCCTTCTTAATTTAGTTTCTGTAATTTCAGAGCACCAAAGATGGATTTGAACTTCTGGATGAAAGCTCTCCTTATGACAGGAAACATCTGAGGCAGCCTCAAATGTCCAGCCCTAAAAATAAAAAAAAACCAACTCAATTGTAAAAAAAAAAAATTAATAAATAAAAATTGCTCCAAACCTGCCTGTCTTCATTTTAAAAGTTTACTCCAGAGGATTAAACTGTAAACGTGGGGCCAACTGTAAACATTGGGGCCAGCTACAGTTATAAAACATGACACAGTTAGAGTTTTTCTCAGAAACATTTTTAAGTACAGTTCTTTTGCATTTTTAAAAATATCTTCCACTTGTCCAATTTTCTTATTTCGTAGGCACACTGAATAAAATATTGATCCTTCGAGATTCTAATAAAGTCTGGCACTAAAATAGTAAAATGTGGTGTACTAAAGGTTCATATAAAATCCATTTCAATTGCCTAGTGCAATTATAAAGATAAAATGTCTGCATTAGTTTTAATTGGTGTATTTTATGATTTAAATGATACCTGCGTAGGGTGTTGTGATAACTTGTAGATATCTCTAGCCAGCGGTAAAATCTCTGGGTCCATCACAAAGTACAGAGTGTGCATCAGTCCAAGGAAACCAGTGCCACGTAGGTCAGTGGCTGGGTCTGTACCTGCAGACAACAAACCACCAGGCAACCTCACAGTGATTATATGATCGGTGATACCTGTCAACAAATCAAAGACTCAAAACACACATGGATTAATAAAAATATGATGAAGAGAAACTGAACAACGGCAGCCTTTAACTCTTGCACAAAAAAAAAGGAATTTCATACAGAAAAAGCATTTACACAAAATTAGCTTTTAAGCATCTTACCCTGAAAGCCAATATTTTCCCAGTGTGCACCAAACCGAGGACAATCCAGCCTGCTTCCAATCAGCCTTTTATAAATGGTCTGCAGGACACGCATGTGGACTGTTTGGCTGTTGTCCACAGGGCCTAAAAACACAATCACACAATTTTTTTGAAAGAAAATCAGTGGTTTAACCCTTGAATGGTCTTATGGTGGAGCAAAAGAATCTGCCACACATTTATTTTTGGCTGCGTTTTTATTAATTAATTTATTATTTGGTGCCGTCAAACACTAATTTTTCTGATAAATTCTAATCCTATTAAAATGTGTTTTATAGTCACATCTACTCTCTAATGGCTTAGTGGGAAAACTCCATCCATTATAAAATCATTTTATGACACCATATTTAACATAACATAAAATAATATATTTCTTTCCCCAATATATAGTTTTTATTTTAAATCTGTCTCTATGCTTTTAAATTTTCATATTAGCTTACTTGTTGATGCCTTGTTTTTACATTCAAGAGTTTCTGTGGACTTCCGTCTCTCATCTAGTCCGACAAAAATGTTTTAGTTTGGATGTAAAATGCAAAAACACCTTTATGTTCTACAAGTTTTTAGTGTGAAAAACAGTTCTACATGCATGCAGGCTGCAGAGTCGGACGCTCCGAGGCTGAGAGCAGCTGACTCCTGTTGGATTGACCCAAATCAGGACCTCAGTAGAGGATGCACCGGCTGCAGAAACTCAGTTTAATATCCGGTTCAGTCGAAGCTAAAAGCAAATGCTGGTGTGTGCACGAGTAAAGTATGAAAATAAATAAAAATGAATTAAAAAAAACCTCCATGTCCAATCACTGACTTACACGAGCTAGTTTGACCAAAAACAAGGCAACATTTTTGGCTACTGGATCTGAAGGGTCTTTCTAAAACTCAAGTTTGAAATCTTTTTTTAAAAATGATCAAAAAGTCCTTTTAGGGGCACTAATGGGAAAAAATGCCTTTCTTTATTCATTTTTTAAATTGCAATAAAATGAGATTTTGTTGATAAAAACATAAAATAAATAAAATAAAATCAATTGTTTAGTTGATATTTTTAAATAAATCACTATAACGAGCTAGAATAAATAATAATAATTTAAATGTGTTTCATTTATGTCAGGCTGCAATTTCTCTAAAAGATTGACTAGTTTATTGTGAAAAAGTAAAAATAATATTTTAAAGCAGTTACTGAAGGCGGTCCATTTTTCCCGAGGAACACTAGTGGTCATAAAGTTAGAGAACAATTCAAATCATAATCATGAGTTTCATCCCTGGTGCCATGGTTACACACCAAACACACACTCACACTGTGCGATGGCAAAAACCAGGTCCCTCTCCTCCAGGAGCTCTTTGTGAAGTCGAGGAGGTCCAAACAGAAAGTGTGTGATGGCAGCCAGGCCCGTTCTACGAATCGTTGGCTGGATGTTCTTCTGCAAATGTGGGATTTGTTGAGACAAAACCAAAAGAAAAACAGTTTACAGTTACTGAAAGGGGAGGCCAATAAGTCCTGACTAAATCCAGAAGAAACAAATCTGATCTTTGTGTTTACAGTACATGGTCCAAATGACAACTTTCCCACTGCAAACATTAAAGCTTTTTTGTTTTTACTACATTAGAAACACTTTAAATCTGAACCAGAGACTGGGCTTCAGATTAAAGGTACGTTTTGATTTTTCTTACCAATAAGTCTCCGAGATCTGTGGTCTGGAAGTACTGCAGGGCTTCATTGAATGAGATGAGTGGAGTTGGGTTTGAGTCCTCAGTCAGAGCTGTTTGAGCATTAAATAAATAATATTATTTCAGAACGTCATCTTACGCCAGCATTCAACGGTTTGAAAACAAATTGTTGGCGTTGCAGCGACTGACTAATAAAGTCAGTAAAAAAATGATTTTTATCAAATTAAACTGACATCAGCATTTTTAGCTTCTTCTCTTTTTACATTTTCAATTTGAGAATAACGAAGGAGAGTCCAATGAAATTATTTGGTTTAAAATCCACAAATGCAAATATAATGGATTATAATAAAAGTCTAAAAGTGTTAAAACTTCAGTTTATGCCCCTGTAAGAAGCAAGATGTGATTTTTCAGGAGTGTTGCTTTTTTTGTAGGAAGTGTCCTCTTCTGTCATTTTGCTTTCAAATCTTGATAATATAAACCTAAATCTAGTTTTTATTTTAAAACAAATGTTTCCCCTCAAACCGTTGACCAAAAACTGTACTGATCCAACACAGTTGGAACAGATGGAAAGTTTGACCCCAAAAACCATCCAGTTTGAATTGATCAACAAACATCACTTCAAACTTAAGACGTTTACTTGCAGACTTTTGAGGTAGACTGTTGTAGAAATGATGCAGAAAAGCTTTTCGTGTCTTCTAAACATCGTTTCCAAAACACAGGGTTCCCACACCTTGGTCAGCATCAAATTCAAGGACCTTTCAAGGACTTTCCAGTACCAATTTCCTCAAATTAAAGAACCACGTGCAACGGCAATTATCTACTGCTACCGCAGAATGTTACCAATAAACAGATTTAATATCATGTAAATTCAATGAAAAACTGAACAACATTGAAGTTGTTGAGTCAGAAACAATGACGTCAGTTTACCAAAATCCTGAGTTACCCACGTAAGTTATGATTTATTTTTTTTAAAAATTATGAAAATCGTAAAAATAATGAAAATTATGAAAATGTGAAGAGAGAATTTCAATACCCAAAAACCATTCAAGGACTTTCAAGGACAAGTGTAATTTTTGGCTGTTTTCACCAACTGTCCAGGTCCTTGAAATAATTTTTTCCAAATTCACAAACTTTCAAGGATTTCAAGGANCCCAAAAACCATTCAAGGACTTTCAAGGACAAGTGTAATTTTTGGCTGTTTTCACCAACTGTCCAGGTCCTTGAAATAAAATTTTCAAATTCACAAACTTTCAAGGATTTCAAGGACCCGTGGGAAGCCTGAAAACAGTTTTCAGCATGACAAAAGGTTTTTGTAGAAAAGCCATCATTATCCGAGTGCTAACAGCTGAAACATCAAGACGCACCTGGTTGAATGTTCTCCAGAGCCTCCCACTCCTGCCTGGCCTTGTTCAACTCGGCATTGTCCTCTTCCTCTGCGGAGGAAATCACACACACACACACAAATCACAATATGCCTCCTTAGTCTCACGGGATATCAATTTGTTTTCATTCTGTCACATTTTACTGTTAAAAATCAACAAAAAGTAGCTTATTTTCTATGTTTATAGTTTGTTAGAACTGAGCCCTTCACACTGCCTCTGTGCTTCCTCAAGAGAAGTTATCATCACTTCTTTGTGAAGTTCTCTCAGCAGCTGTCTGGTATCTGAGAAATACACAAAATCATTCAGAAAGAGGATGTGACAAAAAAAAAGGTTGCGTTACCTGCAGGCTGGAGCTTGTCACCACCTGAGGACAGAGTCTGAAGGAGACCATTCTGCTTCAGTGCTGAAATCTGGACATTCCACACAGATGACATTACATGCAACATAAGTACAGCTGTTTGAAGCAAGGTTACCATAAATAAGAGGCAGTTACCGGCAGGGATCTGAGAGGAGCACTGCCGTTGGTGTGGTCTGTGCCATTGTGACCTATAACTACTCCATTCATGACCTGCAAAAATACGTTACAACGTCTACGTTGAAAAAAAAACATCTTCCTAGCGACAATTAATTACAAAGGATCAACCAGAAGCAATTCTTAGCTCACAGGCTTATGGGTTGAGTGTCCATTGGTGATCTCTTCTAAAGGTTTATGTTCATGTGATAAACCATTCAGACCCTGAAAGGAAGACAAAAACACAGAGCAGTAGCTTTCAAACTATAGAAATATTAAAGCTTTAACTAATTTAGGAAAGGTAAATAACTACATGGCTTATTTTCTTAACTTTAACTTACTCATGGTGTCTCTAGAAAAAAAAAAACATAATCAAATAGGCTAAATTGATTGATTTTTTTTTTTTTACAGATTCTTCCTTGGAGATAAAGATAAAACAGGGATTTGTGTGCATTTATAAAAACGTTCCCAACAAATGATGTTGCACTCACAAAGGATGGAGCGCAAGATTATCCCACTATTTACTACTGCAGCCATATACAAGGCCAGGGGGCTGGAGGTTATGTTATGGCTACAAAGCCAGGTTAGGGATAAGGGAAATGCCCTATCAGCTGCCACGGCAGCAACATGCTGAAGAAGCCAGGTCAGAGATTACAGCTAAGGCAGAGGGAGGGGCAGCAGCTGACCCTTCTGGCCTTGACTGACACACATGCGACAAAACTGCTTAAAACAATGTCTCAATTATTTGACTGTGAAGGAAAGAGTGGGCACTTTATGCCTGTAAGCAATGAACAATATCACAAAAATTAGTAGGTTGAACTTTCCTCCAATGTGTTGGCAAACATGGCAGGTGTTCCTAACGGTGTTAAGTTGCTGAAAGCCCAAACACCGGAATGAGATTAAAGCAAAGTATAATAAAAAGGTACCTCAGTGTGTGAGGTGACATCAGGATCTTCTTCCATTGCATGTGACTGTGCTGTCTGCTGAGGACGTCCCTGGTTCTGGCTTTTAAGGGCTTCTGATGTCATGAAGTGAGACGGGCTGAGGAGCCAAAGCCAGGAACAACATGGTTTCTGTAGTGCACACTGCGTAGGAACCTAAAGTATCTACGCTTTTCTCCTCACATACATAGAAATGCCAATATTAACTGATAGATTTTACAGAATTCTCATAGAAATCCATGCTGTGCACGTTACTTTATTCTACTGGCTATAATTATGAGCTTTAACTGTAGACCAGTGTGAGTCTAGAAGAAGTGACTGGGGTGAATTTCTCACCATCAGTTCACAAGTTTCATGAAAACCTTCTTCCTTCTTCTCCTCCACAGATCTGCCCCACTCCTCAACCCCACCAGAGGGACACGGAAGCTGCATGGTGACAACGCTCCTCCGGGCTGGGCTCTCCCTGTCCGAGACACTTCATTATTCTGGCATCCAAGTCAAATCCAGAATGCAACCCACAGGTACAGGAACAGTGACCGATCAATATACTGCCAGAAGTGAGAAACGCAGGAGCCTGGACAGATGTGGGTCATGTAGGAAAGGTCTTGTCTGGCCTGACTACTGAGGAGGAGGAGGCACAAAATATCTGAAAAGTAGAAGAAAAAACAATGAATGCATAATATTAAATTAATAACTACTTTCCACAAGGACACATAAAAAAATCTTTGTTATAAATATAGTATTTGTACAAATAAAACTGCAATTTATCCCTCACATATGTGATGAATGACACAAAACATTATTACGAGCAAAAATGTCACATACTCACTGAAAACTATAAAACTGAGCACCATTAAATTTAAAACATACAATATTTTTTGCATTTTAAGAGATTTATTTGTTATCCAAAGTGGTAAATCTACATCCTAAATATAAAAACTAGCAGCCAAAAGGCTCAAAAACATGTAGTAGAAAATATATTAAAATGAGTAATGTAATTCTGTGCTTTTTCACTAGGGCTGCAGAATATACTGTATAAAATATTAACATCACAATATCTTAGCATGCAATATCAATATCGCAAAGGATTAAAACAGATTTAAGACACAAACTGGATGCAAAAACTACAATTTGATCATCAGACAGTGGAGCCCCATTACTGTCTCACAACTGGAACATGACGAGTTGTAAACATTTTGATGACAGAAAATGTGAGCTATCAATATATTCTACATAATATCACAATTATTTCCTATTATGTAGCCCTATTGTTATGGCTTAAAAATTGTAATGTAGTTTATTTTTGTTTATTAAAGACATAATCCTGTAGATTGAGCTTTGGGCGTCAAATAAAGGAATTACCTGCAACTTTTGGTTTTACTCAAGCGACTGAGCTGCATACATCCTGAAGTCAAGAGTGAACGCACAGTGATATAAATAAATAATTATTTTTTTAAAGGAGCTACCTGCAGCAGCAGCAGCAGTATCTGTAGCAACCAACAACTCGCAATACGTCAACTACTAGCAGCCCCGCTGGCACAAAGACGCAGCTCAAAATCCAGAATGTAACAGCTCAACATTCAACCATTAAGGCGACAAATATCTTTAAAAAACGTTGTAAATTTTCTCAACAATTTTGGACTCGCATATCCCGTGCATTTAAGTCGACACCCATGCAGCTCGCGCAGTAAAAAGCCAGCTGCCAGGCTAACTAACGGGGCTAGCCGAAGCACTGCTGAACTGTAACGGAGATGGAGTCGGTCCCAAATCCGACAGCAGCGCCGAAATAAATCAGCTCTGGTCCTCGCAGTCTAATAAACACGGCGGAAATATCAGGTCCTAATACATGTCCATGACTAATATAAGACAGGGACCGTTTTAAAAGTACCTCAGTTTTCTGATTGTTTCTCCCTCCAATCTCGGCTTCCCTTCCCCCGTCCAGCGGTCACAGTCACTCCAGGTGCATTGTGGGAGTTGTGGTTTCCTGTCCCGACACTGGCTTCATTACGTCATTGTTTTCTGGGAAGAAAACCAGCAGCTCCACCTTCAGTTTTTTAAATCCACCTTCAATCTTTGACTACAACAACTATTCTGTGACGTTTTGACATTAAAGGTAAATATGAGTATCTAATTTAAATAACATCCCTCCTATTTTTAATTTCACATGTACAGTTGCACATTATGTGCACTGTATGTATCACTTCATCTGTTTTGATCCTTTGATTTAGGCCTCTGCTTTTCTCAACATTTGTTTTGGTTGTTTTCAGATACTGATGTTTTTTGTCCACTTTAATTGCCTCTTGATGTTGCCTTGCTTATTGTTTAAGCATGCTTTTTGTTTTTTGTGTGTTTCTCATTTGACTATATTTTGCCAACAATATTTTATTATTATATGCAGGCTGTTCATTTTAATTGTTCGTGTTTTTAATTAATGTAAATTAGGTTATAGGAAAGAATCAGAAAGCAGTAATAATAATAAAAAAGTTATGAAAATTATCATATACTTTAATTCAACATATAAGTGCATTTGCATTCAAAATGATACATTTTACCTTTTCAGCTTAAGAAAACAAAGTACTTTCTTTAAAAAGTTTTGTGTGGCGGTAATGGTTATTATTTCCACAGATTTTACTCACTTGTCACTTGACAATAAAAAAAACATGCATATAAAATATAAACAACAAGACAAAATAAGTGGAACTGGCACAAGTTACACATGTTTGCAAGAATAATTAGACATTTTTTGTTGGGTTACATACCACCTCAGTTTTAAATTCAGGTCATTGTATGATGAGAAATGACAGAACTGAGCCCACCTTGAAAATAACGTTCTGATTGATCCGTGTCATGTGTTGTCAAACCCTCAGCTATCACATCAAATTAGCTCAATATCTGTTAGAGCAACAGGATTAAAGCTGTTTTTGTTTGTCAGTAGGATGAATTTGAAGTGGAGACCATTTTGAATGATGTTCACTCCTAAAAGGAATCAGCTGTAATTATAAATTTTGTTTTAATAAAATACTTTTTTATTCTCTTAGCGCTCAGAATGTGTGCTGGGGATCAATCTCAGCTACTGAAACTTTAGGTCATTATCTATAAAACTGACTCAGTTCTGGATATTTTTGCATTTTTCAGGTCATTTGGCAGACATCTTGAATCAAGTTGACTCCAAAATGCAAAATGAAATGAGCTGATGCTCATTTCGTCTGAAGCAACATTTGACCAGAACATGTCTTGGTGGTATTTGGAAATTATTATTATAGAAACCAGTCCAGGAGCTGGATTTTTATCTGTTTGCCTCACTGTCCACAATTTGTTCCACTCTTTAAAAGTTTTAAATTGTGATCTATTTTTCTATTATTATTTCAAACGAATATGATCTCACTATCATGTGTTCTTTAGAAAGTTCTGGAATTTGTCCAGATTTTTCTCCCAGCACAAAAAATAAGGCTTTTTGCAGCTGAGATTCAGACTGGGTGAAAAAAAAAAGGAGTAATAAAATAATCAAGGCTGTCATCTGAGCCAAGGACTTAATGTGACTGCCAGATAGCTTGTTTTGTCTTTCTTGTGTGCGCTGAAATAATTTCCTTTTCCTTTTCCAATCAGATTTCTTTTTTTTTTAATCTTCATCTTCCTTTACAATAACAAAGGAACAAGTTCTGTGAATGGTAACAACTCGGCTCACATCTGCCTCTGCTTAGAATTTGAGAAATTTTAAGCAGATGTCAATTATTTGCCTCTGGAACTTTCTTTTGGGGAAAAAATCCTTATATAAGTCAGCTCTTGGATCTGTGGTGCTGAAATGTGTGGCTCATAAAGCACGTAGGAGTGAAATTAGTCATTTGTCTGGGCCCTAAATTTTTCAGAAGGCTTATGGAAAAATGGCTCCCTCAGTGCTCAGGTTTCACTGCTTACTTCCTCTTTCACCCCAGAAACACCCTTCAGGGTTTAGTGCAATGACACAGTTATACAATTTGAAGCCGTAGTCGACAGAAAACTTCTAGAAGACAGAAAAACGAGTCCCCCGTCCTCCAGCTTGGGGCGGGGGGGCTTCTGGCCATCTGTGCTGCATCCAAGAAAATTAGCTGTTACAAAAAATTAGGAAGGAACAAAACTACACAAAACTGAGAAAAATGTTACACAACTGGCAATAATTGAGGACAGATTTCCTGCGTGGAGTGAAATCCACTGTTAACTTGATCTTGGGGAATTTGCTGCTGGCTCGCATAGCTGCTGGACTCCTTGCACATCCGACAGGCCAAACACCTGCTCAGTCTGGCAAACCGACAGTCTGAAAAACCCATTAAGGAGCACAAAGATATTTCATTAACATTATCGTTGGTTTGGGGGGGGAAAAAAAAGAGGGAAACGGGAAATTTCAAGTGACTTTTAAAATTTTAAGATGTTCATGAACATGAGGGTTTGAGGTTGAACCGTGGGGTTTGGTCTTTATAGATGAAGTGGTTCTGTTGGCTTTTTTTTAGGTCATGAATGAGTGTGAAGCTGCTGGAATCCAGAAAAATATAGCACGCCCTGAGCGTCTGTGCATCAAACTGTTCAAGAATCTGGGAGTGTTGTTTGCAAATGATAGGATGGAGAAGGAGATGAACTGATGGATTCTCAACTGTGATGAGGATGTTGCTTTGGCTTATCATAAACAAGAAAGAGCTGAGCCCAAATGCAAAGCTCTGTGTACTGCTTCTACTGCACAACCCTCGTCTTTGGTCATAAGGTATCATGGAGAGAAAAAAAGAATGGATAGATTTTAAGGCTTCAGTTCAAATTCATGTTTTTGCTCTTCTTTTAGATCTTTGTCACCAAGAATTTGTATTAAAAAAAAACCTTAAGTGTATGTTTGTTTCAGTACCTAAACTTTCTCCCACTCAGCCATCAAACTTTGAAATGAATCGAACCACAGATCAAACATTTAACAGGATTTTATTCAAGTTCTCCTCCATCAGGAAAGAAAAGGAGAAGAAAAAAAACCTCTTTCCAAGCCGCTTCACTGTTTTTCATCGACAAACTAAAAGCATAAATATCAGGCGTTACAGTCAATCTTTTTAACTCAGCTTTTGCTGTAATGTCTAATGGAGAATCAAATAAATAAAAGAGAAATAGAAGTGCAAATTGTAAGCTTAATGGAAGGAACAATAATAAGATGTGTGTAAGGAGATGGGTCAGAGAATCACCAGCAGGGAGCGCTGGTTTGGCCTGTAAATCTGATTTATTTTATGAAACTGTCAGCGCTCAACAGTTAAAACTATTACTCTGTTTTGATCTGTAATATTGTGCACTTTGTGTTGGAAAGGACCTTTTCAGGATCTGACTGATTTTTGTTGAAGTTTTTGTATCATTTTGATCATTAAGTGCATATAGTTGGGACACATCTTGAGGATTTAGTGCATTAAGGAAGGCGTACAATGCCTCTAGTTGTTATTTTTCTTACAAATTACAGCATAAGTGACACAAATAGCAGCAACTAAGGCAAAAGTGTCGTCTTTTACTTTTACTCTGCCTCTCTTCTTACCAAGTGGTAATCAAACTCTTATTTTTAATACATTTTAAAAAATTGGAGTTAAAGTAACCATTTAATTTGAATCTAGTTTTGAGGAAAGCCCAACCTCATTCTGTGGAGTTTCTCATTGTTTTCAGCAGCTAAACACAGATTTAGACGAGTGTTTCTAATGAGCAGAGGGGGTTTCTCTCCTGCCTCTGTCGAGTGCATCGTGTCAAAGCTCAAGAGGCGTCTCGTGTCAGCAGGCATGAGCCATCTCCATGGGAACGTCATTAGTCATTCTTTGTCTGAGGTGGTTGGCAAAGTCCACCTGTGTCTGCGAGAGCAATCTGTTTAAGATGGTCTTTGGGACCCAGCCCTGCACAAGACACAGATGAAAGCAGCGTTAGAGAGCAGAGCTTGATGTTTCAACATATGGTTTGCTTTTAGTTCATTGATGGTAATTATTTATACCTTTAGATCCATACTCAGTAACCAGGTAAACTTGGTCTTGTTTGGGTCTTCAGCGCAAGGTTTCATCACAATACAGGTGGGCCCGTTCTCCGCTCTGAAAAAAAAAAGACAGATGATTTGAAAAACGTTTCAAAGCCCAACCCACAGCTTGGCTCACAGTCCTTGACCCACCTGATAACACCCCTCTGCTCAGGCATTTGTGGGTGCGTGGTGGACATCCCGGCCAGGAAGCACGTGGAGCCGCGGCGTTTGGCACAGCGCACGTTCACAAAGTCCCTGGGCCCGACCACGTTGCCAGGGGTCTCTGCCGACACCTCGTGGGTTATCATGATGTCCTGGCCGATCTTTTGAAGGATCTTTCCGAAAAGTAAAACAAACAAAACGTCATCAGGACTCTGAATATTTCTCACGTGCAAAAAGAACTGCAGCTTGAAATCGTATACAGCGGCCTTACTTTGACCTCTTTGACTTTTGGGTTCCATTCTCCCATTTGCTCCATGTTTTCCACCAGCTCCTCATAAAGGCTGTCAGGGTGCTGCTCCAGAACAACTTCTAGTTTAAACACCTTGCCCACGTCGGGCAACACCTTACTCAGAACTTTATCTCCATTGGCCTGCAGAAAAACAGAAAGGTCAGAGGTTGCAGCGATTTCGATTCCAGACACTTTTTTTTAAACTTCCTCACACATCAGCGGATAATTTACCCCTTTTGTTACAATGTTGTACTCACAGCTATGGTTTCCACAGTCCACCCGTCCTGCTCGCCGAGGATGCTGATGGCCTTCGTCAGTGCATCCTCTCCCTGCTTCACATACGATATCTCCTCCTCACTGTACCCCTTCTCCTGCTCCTCGATCCGAGAGCCTTAAATGAAGTGCCACACAACTGAAACGCAACTGTCCGGCAGTAATGAGTCAAATAATTGATAAGAACTCACAGAGGAGGGAGCCTCGTCGCCGGACTTGGCTGAACCAGTTATTCGCTCCTGGACCTGCCAGTTTGTTCAGCTCACGATGAATGGCCACCATGGTGTTCTTTCTCAAAGCTGCAAAAAAAAGGGGGGCAAGTTTTATGCACCAGAAGGCTGATTTCCACCTTTCATTCAGTCTCTCGGACCCCAGGCTTGCACCTGAACATGGGGAATCTATCAATCTATGAAGTAAAACAAGGAGAGCAGCAGGTCAAGGCACCTCACTCACCTGTCGTGTTCCTCACGTGCCGATAGGAGATGCCAGCACACAGTTTGAAAGTTGCAGGCAGCATTTTTCAGTTTCTAACCGTTCTATAAAAAACAAAAACAAAACAAGGAGACAACTTTAAAGGTAAACAGCTCGCAAAGATTTAAAACCCTGCCTGAGCTGCGAAGATGATTAAGCTTCTTTCTTTGGACGTTTGAAACCTCCCGTCTATATAAGAGCCCTTCCCACAAGGACACTTCGCTATCATCACTTAGATAAACACGCGGGCCCTGCTAACTCTTCCAATGGCCATGTCATCAAGGTCGCCTCATGGACACGACAAGCAATTCTCCCAAACTCTGTGTGCGATGACGTCCAGTGCCTGCACACACCAGCAGACTTTCCACTGTGTGTGTGTGTGTGTGTGTGTGTGTGTGTGTGTGTGTGTGTGTGTGTGTGTGTGTGTGTGTGTGTGTGTGTGTGTGTGTGTGTGTGTGTGTGTGTGTSTGTGTGTGTSTGTGTGTGTGTGTGTGTGTGTTACTGTGGAGGGAGAAGCCAGTAGGATAGGGACCCCGAGTGACTCATCTGTCCCCTCACGGTCCACGGTGGAGTAAACACTCAGGAGTTCAAGGACAAAGAAAATGCATCACTTATGTTGGCGTGTTTCTCCCCTCCGTCATGATTGATATCTCAGAACAAGCCTTGCAAATCTCCAATGCCATTACAGCTGAGAGGAAACGACGCTGCAGGAACTCGGAACGTTCTGTGTGTGTGGCTCCCTTATTTTTAAACAGCTAGTTTATGGAGTGATCTCAGTTTTATGCCTTTCTTTTACTTAATGGGAAAAAAAGTCAATTAGGAAAGTCTACTCAAATCCAAAACAAAGTAATGTCGTCACAGTTTATTGCTTTTGGCGGACAAATAGAACACTTAGTTCATATAACATCATGAAATATTTCCTCATGTTGTGCAACACTCGAGTTCTTTAGATAATTATTCAAATCAGAGACAAAAAGAAGTTGGATTATGTTATGAAAGTAAAGATTAATTTAATTCTACTGCAAGAAGCAGCAACCTTCAGGGTACAAGAAATGGGTGATTAAAATCATAATGAAATTTATATTTTGGGCGTTTTTTACATCGCTGAAACAAGAAGCATTAAAACAATAGCCTACTTAGGTGGGATTCTGTGGAGTAGTTATGAGCAATAAACATCTTACCTTTAGTAGATAGGTTTTTATATAACCTCTGCTTGAAGAAATAGTTTAATTCTGGTTGTTTCAATGAACTAAAGGCTACACCTCACTTTGGTCCTGCTCAGTGGAGGCATTGATGTGGATTGCAGCATTTTAAACAACCCTAATTTCAAATTTAATGTCAATTATCCTGTGAATTATGAGCTACTAAGTGCCAGGAAGAGAGGAATCATTTCTCAGAACACAAGATTAAAAGTTCAACCAATAGTTACAGCGGGTAAAATAAGTATTGAACACGTCACCATTTTTCTCAGTAAATATATTACTAGAGGTGCTAATGACATGAAATTTTCACAGATGTTGGTAACAACCCAAGTGATCCATACATACAAAGAAATCAAMCCATAAATGTCCAGAAATGAAGTTATTTGTAATAATGTGGAATGGCACAGGGAAAAAGTATTGAACACATGAAGAAAGGGAGGTGTAAAAACGCATGGAAAGCCAAGACACCAGCTGAACTCTCTCAGTAATTAGAAAGCAAGCCTGCCCCTTGTCAGTGCAAGTTAATATCAGCTGGTTCAGTCCCAAATGATGGCCAGGTATCACACAAGAACCATATGATGATGGGTAAAAGTAAAGAGTTCTCTCAAGACCTTCACAACCTTATTGTTGCAAAGCATAATGATGGCATCGGTTACAGAAGAATGTCTAAACTTCTGAAGGTTCCAGTGAGCACTGTTGGGGCCATAATTCAGAAGTGGAAAGAACATTATTTCACCATAAACCGACCACGACCAGGTGCTCCTCACAAGATTTCTGACAGAGGAGTGAAAAGAATTATCAGAAGAGTTGTCCAAGAGCCAAGGACCACTTGTGGAGAGCTTCAGAAAGACCTGGAATTAGCAGGTACGTTTGTTTCAAAGAAAACAATAAGTAATGCACTGAACCACCATGGCCTGTATGCACGCTCACCACGCAAGACTCCACTGCTGAAGAAACATCATGTTGAAGCTCCTTTAAAGTTTGCTGCACAACATTTAAACAAGCCTGTGTAATACTGGGAGAATATAGTCTGGTCAGATGAGACCAACATTGAACTGTTTGGATGCCAGAATACACATCATGTTTGGAGGTCAAATGGCACTGCACATCAGCCCAAAAACACCATACCAACAGTGAAGTTTGGAGGTGGGAACATCATGGTGTGGGACTGTTTTTCAGCATATGGTACTGGCAAACTTCAAATAATTGAAGGAAGGATGAGTGGAAAAATGTACAGAGACATTCTTGATAAAAATCTGCTTCCATCTACCAGGATGATGAAGATGAAACGTGGCTGGACATTTCAGCAAGACAATGAGCCCAAACACAAAGCCAAGGAAACTCTCAGTTGGTTTCAGAGAAAGAAACTAAAGCTGCTGGAATGGCCCAGCCAATCACCTGACCTGAATCCAACAGAAAATCTATGGAAAGAACTAAAGATCAGAGTTCATAGAAGAGGTCCACGAAACCTTCAAGATTTGAAGACTGTTTGTGTGGAAGAATGGGCCAAAATCACACCTGAGCAATGCATGCCACTAGTTTCTCCATACAGGAGGCATCTTGAAGCTGTCATTGCCAACAAAGGCTTTTGAACAAAGTATTAGATAAATTTCAGTAAGTGTGTTCAATACTTTTTCCCTGTGCCATTCCACATTATTACAAATAACTTCATTTCTGGACATTTATGGTTTGATTTCTTTGTATGTATGGATCACTTGGGTTGTTAYCGACATCTGGTGAAAATTTCATGTCATTAGCACCTCTAGTAATATATTTACTGAGAAAAATGGTGACGTGTTCAATACTTATTTTACCCGCTGTATTTTGTAAACATTTACACTTTTATACTGTACACATTGAGGTTTCTGATTTGCAAGTGCAAATACCAGCAGCAGCTAGCTGTAGCAATTTTGACAGATAATATCAGCATGTTTATTCCAGAATAATTGTGTAACACAAATTGATGACAATGTAAGGCTTTATAAAAAAGAGTTCACATACTTTAATGACTTCACTCAGTTTAGCCGATTTTTCCAAACTGAAGCTATTCAAAGAGCCATCTACGACAGGTAAGATAGTTATTGTTCAGATTGTTTCTACAGAACCCCACCTCAAAAAGAGCTGGATGATCCCTTTAGGATATTTCTTTGAGTTAATTTGGGCAAGAAATTAAGATAAATTTTCCCTGTTTTAAAGTCTTAAAAAACCAGTGCAGTACTTTTTGTTTCTCTCTGTGTTCTGTTTCTCTCAGACTTGAAAAATGTAACAGGATGTAAGAAGTAAACAAGAATGCACTAAACTATGCTGTGCAAACTGACCTTGCCTGTTTAAAAAAACCCTCTATGGAGTCAGAGGGGTTTTAATTTGTTTAACAGAGTTCAGTGTTTTTATGGTTACACATTATGTTTGTGCATTTTCTGATTTTGGAAATCTCTCAAAACGCTGACTTAAATGTCAAACACATCCCCCCAGAGTGACTTCAAAATGTCTTCTATCGAACTGGCGAGTTGTTTTGTGGACCTTGATTACTTCGTCCAAGAAAAATACAAGCTATCTAACAGTAATATTGCCCCAGCGGGCCACACGTCAAAGACACTCTCAGAGTCAACAGCCCAGACGGTCACGGAGCTGGAAACTTGTCAGGATGGAAGTGGGTCATCTGATTAGTGGGGGGACGAGCACAGAGAAAACAAGAACCGAATAATAAATCCCCAAAAAGAGAGACTGAAGTCACCTTAACCTGTGACCTTATGTCCTTCTGTGGGATAATTTGTCTGGTTTAACATGGAAAAACACAGACCCAGCACAAATAAGTGATCCACTAAACACATCGATTAAACTCTCATGTAAAGCGCTTTTTTTTACAGACAAAGAAACAGTAGAAAAAGTGGGTCATCTGACCCATAAAATGAATGTCTTTTCTGGCAGAAGCAGAATTCTGGTGTAATGAGCTTCTGTTTTGCGTCAAACTGCTTTTGTCCAATGTGGATCCAAAGTTGGCAAGTGTACGTGGATACTGAAGGTCAGTGGGTGTATCCTAAAAAATGACAGTTTCTGTAACTATACTGTAGATCTCCAGAATCATTTCTAACAGGAAACAGGCCAAACTTTTTATAATGGTTCTCAGATGGTTTTGATATTCTTAATTCCCATGAATACTCACTGCATTCAATCAAATATTTAATTGAAAAGATTCAGCGAAAGCAACATGTGGCTGTAACTCATGTGCAAATCTGTTTTCATAACCTCATCATTCTGTCAGGTTAGTTGATAAATGAAAATCTCCTGCAGTTGTTTTTAATAAGTTTAAGAGAAAATTAACAACCATTAAAACAAATATCTCACTAAAACTGCCATTTTCTTAGCTCTTATTAGCCTCATAAGATAAGCTTAATTTAACATGTTTGTGGGTATTTTAAACATTAGAGCCCCGTATCTCTTACATCTGTGGTGTCCAGGTCCAAATTTGTTCTCAAACCTTATCTGGCAATGAAAGGATTAATTGCAAACAATCCTGCGCAGGCATGAGTTGTCATCTGTCATGGACCCTGCTATAGCCAATCAGAGAGCTTATATATGTAAACTTAGCATAAAAAGTAATTAAATATGTGTGTTTGGTAGATTTATTTCTTTGTTGTATCAATGCTTCTTGGCAATAAATCTTTTAGCGGGCACCTGATTGGCTGCACCTTTTGGGGATCAGAAGATCAAAACAAATAACAACAGCAAAATAAGCTGTTTGCCAGAGATTTGGCAAAGTTTACATGTGTACAATCAGATCTACTGCTCAGCCCACAAATGCATGTTCCTTACAAATGTGGCACTATAAGGGAAATGAACAGGCTTTCCAAGATTTATTGCCAAGAAGCATTTTTACAACAAAGAAACAATCTACCACTTATTTCCTGTTTGTGCTAATTTTATATCTTGCTCCACTTCTCCCTTTTCTTTTGCCCGCTGCTTTGAATGATTGACCCCAGTGCCCACCTTCAACACGTCTGCCTCCCTTTTCATTCACGTGGATTGTCTTGCTTCATCTTTTACTCCCTTTTCTCTCCAGAGCAGACCTCCACCCTTTTGTGCATATGACTCTGTGTTTATGACGTAAACATAGGATCAGAGCAACTTTTTTAAACTCATCTCTCCCGTTGTGTATTTCCAAGCTGCAAAAGGTAGCGCGACCCTGT